GGATATACATTACACGCGTAGATATACATTACACATGTGGATATACATTACACACATAGATATACATTATACACGTAGATATACATTACACATGTAGATATACATTACACATGTGGATATACATTACACATGTAGATATACGTTATACATGTAGATATACATTACACACGTGGATATACATTACACACGTAGATATACATTACACACGTAGATATTCATTACACACGTAGATATACATTACACATGTAGATATACATTACACATGTGGATATACGTTATACATGTATTACACACGTAGATATACATTACACATGTGGATATACATTACACGCGTAGATATACATTACACATGTGGATATACATTACACACGTAGATATACATTATACACGTAGATATACATTACACATGTAGATATACATTACACACGTAGATATACATTACACACGTAGATATACATTATACATGTAGATATACATTACACACGTAGATATATATTACACACGTAGATATACATTATACATGTAGATATACATTACACACGTAGATATGCATTACACTTGTGGATATACATTACACACGTATATATTCATTATGCATGTAGATATACATTATACATGTAGATATACATTACACATGTAGATATTCATTACACACGTAGATATACATTACACATGTAGATATTCATTACACACGTAGATATTCATTACACATGTAGATATACATTACACACGTGGATATACATTACACACGTACATTACACATGTAGATATACATTACACACGTAGATATACATTACACACATAGATATACATTATACATGTAGATATACATTACACACGTAGATATATATTACACACGTAGATATACATTACACATGTTGATATACATTACACACTTAGATATGCATTACACATGTGGATATACATTACACATGTATATATTCATTATGCATGTAGATATACATTATACATGTAGATATACATTACACATGTAGATATACATTACACACGTAGATATACATTATACATGTAGATATACATTACACACATAGATATACATTACACATGTAGATATACATTACATACGTAGATATACGTTATACATGTAGATATACATTACACACGTAGATATACATTATACATGTAGATATACATTACACACGTAGATATACATTATACATGTAGATATACATTACACACGTAGATATACATTACACATGTAGATATACATTACACACGTGGATATACATTATGCATGTAGATATACATTACACATGTAGATATACATTACACACGTAGATATACATTACACACATAGATATACATTATACATGTAGATATATATTACACACGTAGATATACATTATACATGTAGATATACATTACACACGTAGATATGCATTACACTTGTGGATATACATTACACACGTATATATTCATTATGCATGTAGATATACATTATACATGTAGATATACATTACACATGTAGATATTCATTACACACGTAGATATACATTACACATGTAGATATTCATTACACACATAGATATTCATTACACATGTAGATATACATTACACACGTGGATATACATTACACACGTACATTACACATGTAGATATACATTACACACGTAGATATACATTACACACATAGATATACATTATACATGTAGATATACATTACACACGTGGATATACATTACACACGTACATTACACATGTAGATATACATTACACACGTAGATATACATTACACACATAGATATACATTATACATGTAGATATACATTACACACGTAGATATATATTACACACGTAGATATACATTACACATGTAGATATACATTACACACGTAGATATGCATTACACATGTGGATTTACATTACACATGTATATATTCATTATGCATGTAGATATACATTATACATGTAGATATACATTACACACGTAGATATACATTATACATGTAGATATACATTACACACATAGATATACATTACACATGTAGATATACATTACATACGTAGATATACGTTATACATGTAGATATACATTACACACGTAGATATACATTATACATGTAGATATACATTACACACGTAGATATACATTATACGTAGATATACATTACACACGTAGATATACATTACACATGTAGATATACATTACACACGTGGATATACATTATGCATGTAGATATACATTATACATGTAGATATACATTACACATGTAGATATGCATTACACATGTGGATATACATTACACACGTATATATTCATTATGCATGTAGATATACATTATACATGTTGATATACATTACACATGTAGATATACATTACACACGTAGATATACATTATACATGTAGATATACATTACACACGTAGATATACATTATACATGTAGATATACATTACACACGTAGATATACATTACACACGTAGATATACATTACACACGTAGATATACATTACACATGTAGATATACATTACACATGTATATATACATTACACACGTGGATATACATTACACACGTAGATATACATTACACACGTAGATATACATTACACACGTGGATATACATTACACACGTAGATATACATTATACATGTGGATATACATTACACACGTAGATATACATTACACACGTAGATATACATTACACATGTGGATATACATTACACATGTAGATATACCAACATCTTCACAGTTGAAGTGATTACAGTTATGAGTTATATATCGATACCAAATGTGTAAACCAAAAATATTTCTTCACTCATCAGATTTGTAAATGTCTGCAGCTGCAAGCATATATGTATACGTACCTGTACAAATCTATTCTATTGACATAATATTGAATTTTGAAAATGTGACCAACAGACATGAAATTGAAGTTATAATTAATTTACTCTTGGCTTATGTCCATTGGAAATTGAAAGCACATGGACATGCTAACTTTGAGTCACTAGTGATTATTGACATATAATTGTAATCTAGAACTACAATTATCCTTAAATGAATTTCACTTTGAGTTAGCCTTTCAAAACTTCAATACCTTCAAGTTATTATTTTGTGTATTCATTGATCAGTAATATTCAAAAGACTTACAGTGACCTGCAGAGTATTTGGTTTTGATAATGACATTGTAAGTGAATAATTCTACTTAATGTCTTACCCTTAATAAGTGGCCTTCCTGAATACCCTGACAGAATTGGAATTATCGACATCTTTTAACAACTTGATACGACTGATAATTCCACTCTAATCATGTATGTATTAACTTGAGAACAACTGTGCAAACGAGGAATGTGTGAATGATATTTTTATAGTGATTTCATGCATTTCACACATTGTATGTCACAGAATTTAACACAGGATTGACAAAAACTTAACAGAAGATCGGCATGGTGCTGAACTCATGGACATTTGACTTGTACATCATACATGTACAGCATGGAAACATAACAACCATGTGACAGTAAACATTGCTGTTAAAAGTTCATCCCTGTCACTTGACAACAAAGCAATGTCCCGGCAGACTGATGTACACATGTCTGAACTATATACAGCAGCTTAATCCCTGTCGCCTGTCTTCCCTGTGATGTTGCAGTGGCTGATCTGCCAATTTATTCCACAAACTTTCTGTGATACCCATGCAATCCTGCCACTGTTACAAGGGACAGGTCAGCAAAGAAAGAGAATATGTACATTTAAACACTGTCTGTTACTTACAGAAGGTCATATGTACATTTAAACACTGTCTGTTACTTACAGAAAGAAATATGTACATTTAAACACTGTCTGTTACTTACAGAAAGGTAATATGTACATTTAAACACTGTCTGTTACTTACAGAAAGGAAATATGTACATTTAAACACTGTCTGTTACTTACAGAAAGGAAATATGTACATTTAAACACTGTCTGTTACTTACAGAAAGGTAATATGTACATTTAAACACTGTCTGTTACTTACAGAAAGGAAATATGTACATTTAAACACTGTCTGTTACTTACAGAAAGGTAATATGTACATTTAAACACTGTCTGTTACTTACAGAAAGGAAATATGTACATTTAAACACTGTCTGTTACTTACAGAAAGAAATATGTACATTTAAACACTGTCTGTTACTTACAGAAAGAAATATGTACATTTAAACACTGTCTGTTACTTACAGAAGGTAATATGTACGTTTAAACACTGTAACACTGTCTGTTACTTACAGAAGGTAATATGTACATTTAAACACTGTAACACTGTCTGTTACTTACAGAAGGTAATATGTACGTTTAAACACTGTAACACTGTCTGTTACTTACAGAAGGTAATATGTACATTTAAACACTGTAACACTGTCTGTTACTTACAGAAGGTAATATGTACATTTAAACACTGTAACACTGTCTGTTACTTACAGAAAGGAAATATGTACATTTAAACACAGTCTGTTACTACAAAAAGAAATATGTACATTTAAACACAGTCTGTTCCTTACAGAGTGTGATATGTGGTATATCTTTGCACTCTACCTGGAACTTACAGAAGGGAAACATCCAGGGAGGACAAATATATGTTAGCTTATTCCATATCACTGTACTATTGTTGTCCAGAGCACTTTACTGATACATGTTTTCACACCAGCTCCTAATTTAACTATGAATACTTTTTTTATGAGGTAGCTGAACAAATGTGTCACATGACCCTTCTTTTTTCAAAACAGGTTGAAGGCTTGGTGTATTGTACCTTAATATTTTTTTAATTTTATGAATGATCCTCTGCTCTTCAGAATCTGGCTCAGAATTAAATCAATCTTCGTAAATATATGGATATATTATGACAAGACAACATGGTACATGTTACTAGTCATAGGCTTACTGTTAAATACCAGAAGCAGAACACCTATTTTTTTGCGATAAATTCAGAGAAGATGTGGACATTCAATTGTCTTATTGATTGCAAGGTCAAGGAAGTCAAAATTTATTCATCTTTTTCCAGGTTGCAAACTATATCCCGCAACTGGCACGATATAGCCCTGACTTCTGGGGAGTTTCGGTGTGCACTGTGGATGGACAACGGTAAATAGCCGGAAATTGCTTCATTTTCTTATCTCCTAAATCAGTTTTTATCACTTGAAGAAATGGTATTTTAACTGATTTTCTAAGAAAAACAGGAACAAAAATTACAAAATGATTGATCAGGTGATTGGCATATTATTCAGTGAGCTTTGGGTATAATGATATTTAATGCCTGTTAAATGACAGTTAACCCATTGTGTCAATGAGATTATATCAAGACGTCATAAGGAGAAAATAGGCAAAAAGCTTGTAGCTACAAGATTGTTTGTAATGCTTTAAAAAAAAAGGATGATGTGATATTAATTTCTATTTCATACAAGATTTTTGAAATATGTCACAAATGTTATTATTTTAGCTGACCATTAAAATATTTCTGTTCATATTCTGTTTTTTGGTAGGTATTCCATCGGTGACATCAATGAACCGTTTTGCCTGCAGTCTGTCAGTAAACCATTGACCTATTCTATGGTTCTCAACGAGCTTGGTCCGGACATCGTACATCAGTATGTCGGCCACGAGCCCAGTGGTCATCCTTTCAACATGATCTGTTTGGACAGCAATGGTAAGTAACTAAATATCACTAACTTTAGTGGTAAATATTTAAATATCTCAAACTTTAGTGGTAAGTATCCAAATATCTCTAACTTTAGTGGTAAGTATCCAAATATCTCAAACTTTAGTGGTAAATAATCCAAATATCTCAAACTTTAGTGGTATCCAAATATCTCAAACTTTATAAGTATCCAAATATCTCAAACTTTAGTGGTAAGTATCCAAATATCTCAAACTTTAGTGGTAAGTATCCAAATATCTCAAACTTTAGTGGTAAGTATCCAAATATCTCAAACTTTAGTGGTAAGTATCCAAATATCTCAAACTTTAGTGGTAAGTATCCAAATATCTCTAACTTTTGTGGTAAGTATCCAAATATCTCAAACTTTAGTGGTAAATATCAAACCAAATATCTCAAACTTTAGTGGTAATATCCAAATATCTCAAACTTTTGTGGTAAGTATCCAAATATCTCAAACTTTAGTGGTAAATAATCCAAATATCTCAAACTTTAGTGGTAAGTATCCAAATATCTCAAACTTTAGTGGTAAGTATCCAAATATCTCTAACTTTTGTGGTAAGTATCCAAATATCTCAAACTTTAGTGGTAAATAATCCAAATATCTCAAACTTTAGTGGTAAGTATCCAAATATCTCAAACTTTAGTGGTAAGTATCCAAATATCTCTAACTTTTGTGGTAAGTATCCAAATATCTCAAACTTTAGTGGTAAATAATCCAAATATCTCAAACTTTAGTGGTAAGTATCCAAATATCTCAAACTTTAGTGGTAAGTATCCAAATATCTCAAACTTTAGTGGTAAGTATCCAAATATCTCAAACTTTAGTGGTAAGTATCCAAATATCTCTAACTTTAGTGGTAAATATCCAAATATCTCCAAATATCTCAAAACTTTCAGTGGTAAATATCCAAATATCTCAAACTTTAGTGGTAAATATCCAAATATCTCAAACTTTAGTGGTAAATATCCAAATATCTCAAACTTTAGAGGGAAATATCCAAATATCTCAAACTTTAGTGGTAAGTATCCAAATATCTCAAACTTTAGTGGTAAATATCCAAATATCTCTAACTTTAGTGGTAAATATCCAAATATCTCAAACTTTAGTGGTAAGTATCCAAATATCTCAAACTTTAGTGGTAAATATCCAAATATCTCTAACTTTAGTGGTAAATATCCAAATATCTCAAACTTTAGTGGTAAGTAACTAAATATCTCAAACTTCAGTATCAAATATCTCAAACTTTAGTGGTAAGTATCCAAATATCTCAAACTTTAGTGGTAAATATCCAAATATCTCAAACTTTAGTGGTAAATATCCAAATATCTCAAACTTTAGTGGTCAAACTTTAGTGGTATCCAAATATCTCAAACTTTAGTGGTAAGTATCCAAATATCTCAAACTTTAGTGGTAAATAATCCAAATATCTCAAACTTTAGTGGTAAGTATCCAAATATCTCTAACTTTAGTGGTAAATATCCAAATATCTCAAACTTCAGTGGTAAATATCCAGATATTTTTAGCTTTAGAGGGAAATATCCAAATATCTCAAACTTCAGTGGTAAATATCCAAATATCTCAAACTTTAGTGGTAAATATCCAAATATCTCAAACTTTAGTGGTAAATATCCAAATATCTCAAACTTTAGAGGGAAATATCCAAATATCTCAAACTTCAGTGGTAAATATCCAAATATCTCAAACTTTAGTGGTAAATATCCAAATATCTCAAACTTTAGTGGTAAATATCCAAATATCTCAAACTTTAGTGGTAAGTATCCAGATATTTTTAGCTTTAGAGGGAAATATCCAAATATCTCAAACTTTAGTGGTAAATATCCAAATATTTTTAACTTTAGTGGGGAAATATCCAAATATCTCAAACTTCAGTGGTAAATATCCAAATATCTCTAACTTTAGTGATAAATATCCAAATATCTCTAACTTTAGTGGTAAATATCCAAATATCTCAAACTTCAGTGGTAAGTATCCAGATATTTTTAGCTTTAGAGGGAAATATCCAAATATCTCAAACTTCAGTGGTAAATATCCAAATATCTCTAACTTTAGTGATAAATATCCAAATATCTCAAACTTTAGTGGTAAATATCCAAATATCTCAAACTTCAGTGGTAAATATCCAAATATCTCTAACTTTAGTAAGTATAAATATCTCCAAATATCCAAATATCTCTAACTTTAGTGGTAAGTATCCAAATATCTCAAACTTCAGTGGTAAATATCCAAATATCTCTAACTTTAGTGGTAAGTATCCAAATATCTCAAACTTCAGTGGTAAATATCCAAATATCTCTAATTTTAGTGATAAGTATCCAAATATCTCAAACTTCAGTGGTAAATATCCAAATATCTCTAACTTCAGTGGTAAGTATCCAAATATCTCTAAATCTATTGGTAAGTATCCAAATATCTCAAACTTCAGTGGTAAGTATCCAAATATCTCTAAATCTATTGGTAAGTATCCAAATATCTCTAACTTCAGTGGTAAGTATCCAAATATCTCTAAATCTATTGGTAAGTATCCAAATATCTCTAACTTCAGTGGTAAGTATCCAAATATCTCTAAATCTATTGGTAAATATCCAAATATCTCTAACTTTAGTGGTAAATATCCAAATATCTCAAACTTTAGTGGTAAGTATCCAAATATCTCTAACTTTTGTGGTAAGTATCCAAATATCTCTAACTTTTGTGGTAAGTATCCAAATATCTTAAACTTCAGTGGTAAGTATCCAAATATCTCTAACTTTAGTGGTAAATATCCAAATATCTCAAACTTTAGTGGTAAGTAACTAAATATCTCTAACTTTAGTGGTAAATATCCAAATATCTCTAACTTTAGTGGTAAATATCCAAATATCTCTAAATCTATTGGTAAGTATCAGAACATGGCTAAATCTAATTGTAAACATCTAAATATCACTAGAATTCAAGTGAACATCACCATTATGATTCTTTTTCGCTTTTACTAAAACTGTGTTGCTCTTTAACAGGACATGGTTGATTTCTAAAATTTTTGTTTTTGCTTTTGTATGTTTGATATTCTGCTACACAGTGTTTCTTATCTTCCTTTAGATAAACCTCACAATCCAATGATCAACTCGGGTGCCATCGTGATATGTTCATTAGTGAAACAGGAAATGAACCCTGCAGACAAATTCGACCATGTAAGTATGGTTTTGTTACTGTTTCTGGTTGTAAATATATGTGGAGATCTACAATTCATTTTGCTTTATTTATGGTCATTTAGATTGTTTGAAGTTATATGTAAATGTCCACCAAATATTTCTAGTGTTAATCAAAGTTTCAGAAAATATTTATAGACATAAACCATGTTATTTATTACTTAAAAAGGGGCATTTGATAAAATTTGACCCCCACAAATTAGCCCCGAAAGGACAATAATGAAATATAACCCCTGCAAAATAAAATGACTGTACAGTATTCACATAAAAAATTTCATCAATTTGATCAAAGTTAGTAAGTTATGATATAAGGACATTCCAAGTTTGCATTGTGCCTTCATAATATAAAATTGAAGGGCTATTTAGCAATACTATTCTTGTAAATTCTTGTAAAACCTTGGGGAAGATTAGATGTTTTCATGGGAGAACCCTAATTTTGTGTTTGCCTCAAGCTTGGTGTCAGCACCATCTTGTTCTCCTAAGTTTCATCCTGCCCCTGCCATATCTCCACCTCCGGGATTCTATGTACATGTTTTTGGGATTGCATTCAAACAAAGGATACTAACATGTTTCCTTTTTCTTCTCTGTTTTTACAGACAATTAATGTTTTCAAGAAGATGGCTGGTGGTGAAATGATGAACTTTAACAATGGCGTGTAAGATTGTCCATATGATAACATGATGCAAGTTAATGAGACCTCTTTAAAATTTCAATAATTGATGTTAAAATATTTATGGATCGTGATTTCTAATATAGTATTTAAAAATTCAACAGTAAAAAGTGATAAGTTGGAGGGATGGTGGGTTCAAAACAACACAATTATTTTGTATTGTTTTGGCTTTGGATATAATTAGAAGGGTTTACAGGTGTTTTAGTGAAGTTTTGCACTGTTGAAATTAAATTCTAAATTACCAACATAAAGTGTTTGTCTATGTTAAAAAAGGAACTTTAACTGCCACAGTTCAAATAACAATACTGTGTTACAGTTCATTTTAGTGGTGTTTAGCTTTCGCTATTTTCATCACAAGATCACCTTTTTGATTGAGATAGTGTTATATATTGTAGGTCATCTCTGGTCTTTAATGATAAAAATAGGAAATGGCTAAAAATAGATGTTTGCTGGTTTTGATATAAAATAGAGAACTTGAAATGCCCTGAAATCGACCTACAACTGTATTATACTATTTGGTTGTAAGCATTAATTCTATGTTCTGTTGTAGTTACCTATCTGAGAAAGAGACTGCAGACAGGAATTTTTCCCTTGGATACTACATGAGAGAAAAAAGGGTAACTAAATGAATTTTTCTATTGAAACTAAAATTAACAAAAAAATGATGTTATTTCTGATATTTTCCGTAAAGCCTACTGATAGATTCAGCAAATATTTACAAGTACTTACTATATTTTCTGAGGAAATATAGAATATTTTCTGTTCTAGCACCATGTATCAAAGGAATAGAACTGTACATCACCTTACCTTATCTCTAGCAGTTACAAGACTATGCTTTTTGTTCCACTACCATCAAAGTATGTGTAGTAGCTTTAACTTTATCAGGATGATTATAAGTATGCTTATCAGACATGTTCTGACTGTAATTTGTAGAGTTATTGCCCTTGGTATATGTTGGGATTATCTGTTTTGTACACATGCAATACTTCTACTTAAAATGGATGCTTGATATATCCTTCAGTTTTTGCAGACAGAATTGCATAAATCTGGAATTTTTTTTTGCTTCGTTTTGAATATCAAGTTTTCGTACATTCTGTTTGTCTATTTGTTCATACAATTTGTGAAATTCAGTCTTTATTTTTCCCTCTTCCAGTGCTTCCCAGAAGGCAGTAACCTAAAGGAAGTGATGAACTTTTACTTTCAGGTAAGATGGTGAGCAAAATTAGAGAAATGTTATTAAAACATAAAAAAAGGTCTATATTATATATATAAACCAGTAGTAGATTCTTCTAAGCACTGATCCCTTTTTCATCAATGTATATTAAAGAAATTATTTATAAATTGTATGAATCCATTCTGTAATATTTTCTGTAATATTCCTTATAAAATTCATCAAGAAAGACTTCAAAAAAATTTCAAAATAAAGTTGAAATCATTATTTTGCACATGGATGTTGATAATGAAATTAATCAGATTTTATATCTTAATTCACAAAGCTTTGTTCCGTTGAAATCAACTGTGACTCTGGGGCGGTGCTTGCAGCCACTTTAGCCAATGGAGGAGTTTGTCCTACAACTGGTGAACGTCTTCTCAGTGCACAGTCCGTCCGTGATACTCTGTCACTTATGTTTTCCTGCGGAATGTATGACTACTCTGGACAGTTCGCCTTTCGGGTTTGTATATTTGCTGCATATCTTTAACAACTGTTGATTCAACCTTTTTATGTTTCATTCATCAATTATCTGTTACTAGAAAGCAATGTTTATGTTTCATTCATCAATCATCTGTTACTAGAAAGCAATTTTTATGTTTCATTCATTAATCATCTGTTACTAGAAAGCCATGTTTATGTTTCATTCATTAATCATCTGTTACTAGAAAGCCATGTTTATGTTTCATTCATCAATCATCTGTTACTAGAAAGCCATGTTTATGTTTCATTCATCAATCATCTGTTACTAGAAAGCAATGTTTATGTTTCATTCATCAATCATCTGTTACTAGAAAGCAATGTTTGTGTTTCATTCATTAATCATCTGTTACTAGAAAACAATGTTTATGTTCATTCATCAATCATCTGTTACTAGAAAGCCATGTTTATGTTCATTCATTAATCATCTGTTACTAGAAAGCAATGTTTATGTTTCATTCATCAATCATCTGTTACTAGAAAGCCATGTTTGTGTTTCATTCATTAATCATCTGTTACTAGAAAACAATGTTTATGTTTCATTCATCAATCATCTGTTACTAGAAAGCCATGTTTATGTTCATTCATCAATCATCTGTTACTAGAAAGCCATGTTTATGTTTCATTCATTAATCATCTGTTACTAGAAAGTAATGTTTATGTTTCATTCATCAATCATCTGTTACTAGAAAGCAATGTTTGTGTTTCATTCATTAATCATCTGTTACTAGAAATCAATGTTTATGTTCATTCATCAATCATCTGTTACTAGAAAGCAATGTTTATGTTTCATTCATTAATCATCTGTTACTAGAAAGTCATGTTTATGTTTCATTCATTAATCATCTGTTACTAGAAAGCCATGTTTATGTTTCATTCATTAATCATCTGTTACTAGAAAGCCATGTTTATGTTTCATTCATTAATCTTCTGTTACTAGAAAGCAATGTTTATGTTTCATTCATCAATCCTCTGTTACTAGAAAGCAATGTTTGTGTTCGTTCACAAATATTTTGTTACTAGAAAGCAACATTTGTTTCATTCATAAATCTTCTGTTACTAGAAAGCCATGTTTATGTTTCATTCATTAATCATCTGTTACTAGAAAGCAATGTTTGTGTTTCATTCATCAATCCTCTGTTACTAGAAAGCAATGTTTATGTTTGTTCACCAATATTTTGTTACTAGAAAGCCATGTTTGTTTCATTCATCAATTATCTGTGACTAGAAAGCAATGTTTGTTTCATTCATAAATCTTCTGTTACTAGAAAGCAATGTTTATGTTTCATTCATTAATCATCTGTTACTAGAAAGCCATGTTTATGTTTCATTCATCAATCATCTGTTACTAGAAAGCAATGTTTGTGTTTCATTCATTAATCATCTGTTACTAGAAATCAATGTTTATGTTCATTCATCAATCATCTGTTACTAGAAAGCCATGTTTATGTTCATTCATTAATCATCTGTTACTAGAAAGCCATGTTTATGTTTCATTCATTAATCATCTGTTACTAGAAAGCCATGTTTATGTTTCATTCATTAATCATCTGTTACTAGAAAGCCATGTTTATGTTTCATTCATCAATCATCTGTTACTAGAAAGCCATGTTTATGTTTCATTCATTAATCATCTGTTACTAGAAAGCCATGTTTATGTTTCATTCATTAATCATCTGTTACTAGAAAGCCATGTTTATGTTTCATTCATCAATCATCTGTTACTAGAAAGCAATGTTTATGTTTCATTCATCAATTATCTGTTACTAGAAAGCCATGTTTATGTTTCATTCATTAATCATCTGTTACTAGAAAGTAATGTTTATGTTTCATTCATCAATCATCTGTTACTAGAAAGCAATTTTTATGTTTCATTCATCAATCATCTGTTACTAGAAAACAATTTTTGTTTCATTCATCAACCTTCTGTTACTAGAAAGCCATGTTTATGTTTCAACAAGGGAGAGCACTTCATTGAAGCTCATATTACATCATCAATTCTGATTTCCGAAGGGCAAAATTTGAATTTCATGAACAAGGGAGATTACTCTATCGTACCTCTTTCTGTGTGATTTCTTGATGTTTCTTCAAGGGAGACAACTCTAATACAGGTATTAGTATTTCTTTTGTTGTCAAAGGGTGAATGTGATTATGGCCAACTTTGTCTTAACAATTACTAAAGGAAATGTGGTACAAGGACTTTGTGACACTGGAACGGAATGTGATGGAATGAAAAATTATCATGGAACATGTCAATGTGAGCTAAGCATGTAGTTCATTCATAGACTCCATATTTGGTAAAAGCAGTCAGCTTTTTATTTTTGATTTTACTGAATAAAATTTGTTACAGGTGGGTCTTCCAGCCAAATCTGGTGTATCTGGATGTGTCCTGATGGTTGTGCCTAATGTAATGGGAATATGTATGTGGTCACCTCCTCTTGACCGTTGGGGAAACAGCTGCCGAGGAATACAATTCTGTAAGGTCAGTAAGTTCAGTATTAGGTGAGGGAGCATATATTGTTGGGATGTATATCTGTAGGTAAGGTTACACTGCTTATTTCTACTTAATTAATTAACAAACTAGTAGTTAATGTAAATTGATAAGCCATGTAGAATAATTAAAATAGAGATAGATATGGTTGTCAGTTGTATTCCATATCTAATTAAAATGTAATGATAGCAAAAACTTGTATATTTTCATATCTCAAAACTGAGAGAGTTGTAGATTAAATGGTTTGTGGTTTTCCATTCAATCTTATTTAAATTACAGATTTGTTGGGTTTAAATTTTGAATGGTGTGTGTTACATTGATAAAATCAAAGTCCTGCATGCAGTTTTGAATTATTTTCTCAAACGATACATATTTTATTTCAGATATAGTGACTACATAAATGTAGAAATGACACAGCTGCATATATTATGTTTTGGCTTATTCAAACAACTTAACTTGTTTTTTTTTTCATTTATATGTGTCCAGTTTACATGTAATGGTGATTTTTTTGTAAGTAAAAAGTTCAAGTGTTCAATATGTGTTTATTATTTGAATAAAAATCTTTCTCATTGACAGAACTTCATTGAAACTTTCCACTTTCACAATTTTGATATAATAAGGACAAAAAATGACCCACGTACCACAAAATCTCATACCCAGGCATTTGAAATCGTGAAACTGCTCTTCAGTGCCTACAATGGAGATGTCACAGCTATTCGGAGGTAAGGTTAAATTCAAGCCATACAATACCACAAATTCTCAAAAAATAACATACTCTGTTTTATCTTATATCTAGATTCTTATATTTTGATATCAGAAATTTTACTTAAATGCTTTACTTAAGACATATCACTTTCATTAATAATTGCTGATTAATGCTTACTGATTCAGATATAGGTACAAACTTATACGGTGTATTCAATCCTTATACCTGATTTATTTACTCCTCGAATGGAGAGTATATAGTTGGCACTTTGTCCGTCTGTCTGTCCATCCATTTGTTTCTCCATTTATTTGAATGTCTGTCTGCTTGTCCGTTCATCATAATTTTATCTGGACCATATCACAAAAACTGTGTGATGTATCAACACAAAGCTTCATAGGTAGATTGATCTCAACAAGGAGAACAGCAGTGTGCAAGAACCATCACTCTCTTTTCCATTATGTAGGCGTTATTAAGTGGCCCTGTCAGAACTGATCAATTGAGAAGTCATGAAATGGACAATGACATTATTGAATTAAACGTCAATATCTCAAACTTATATATAAAAATATAACTTGAAGACCCCATTTAATTCTAATTATTTTGTTAGTCCCTGGCAAACCTTACTTCAAACAATCAAACTCACTCTGGCCGACTTCAAGATCCTGAGGTTTGTCTGTTCTATGTTCATTCCACAGTAAGCTGGGTGACTAGACACATATTGCCGGTGGTCAATGTAAAATGATAGACTTATGAGTGGTTCATTGTTCATGGACTTGTAAGTTTCATATAAATCTTTTATTACGGAGAACAAAATTACATATTTTGGAGTAATTGAACTGATAGACAGGCTAATAATACAATGATACTGAGAATATCTAAACTCGGTGTCATTGAACAACAAACTCAGAAACTGAATAGGAAAAGGGGCTTATTGTTTATACTGTGCTTGAAGAGGTAATTCAGGTCATGGTGTTGGTAGACCCAGAGGAAATTCAGGTCAAGGGGTTGGTGGACCCAGAGGAAATTCAGGTCAAGGGGTTGGTAGACCCAGAGGAAATTCAGATCATGGTGTTGGTACACCCAGAGGAAATTCAGGTTAAGGGGTTGGTGGACCCAGAGGAAATTCAGGTGAAATAAACGTCTCTAAGTGTAAACATAACTGCCTCTCACATGTTATGTTCACAGTCAACAGTGAATCTGAGACCAACATGTATATTCCTGTATATTTTTATATCTCTGTCTTTTCGGTTCACAGATATGCTCTTGTGGGTGTTGACCTAAACCAACAGGACTATGATGGGAGGACAGCACTGCATGTGGCTGCAGCAGAAGGTCATAGTAATGTTGTCATTTACCTTCTGGAAAAATGTGATGTCAATCCTTCAGTAAAGGATAGGTATGCTTCTATTATACTGAAGTATTAAAGTTTCGGGGTTCAGAACTCCTGGACATGAAATGTGAATTATTCTGGTACAAGTCACCTTTGAATTGCATATGTGAAAATTGCAAAAGAAAAAAGTTTGTTTGCATTTTGACAAAATTAAAAAAGGATACTGGTGAGTTTATTACCAGACATCGGTCGATTGTTTGTCGGATAAATGTTGTATTACGCCGTTTGTCGGATAAATGTTGTATTCCACTGTTTGTGGGATAAATGTTGTATTACGCCGTTTGTGGGATAAATGTTGTATTCCACTGTTTGTCGGATAAATGTTGTATTACGCCGTTTGTCGGATAAATGTTGTATTCCACTGTTTGTGGGGTAAATGTTGTATTACGCCGTTTGTGGGATAAATGTTGTATTACACTGTTTGTCGGATAAATGTTGTATTCTGTCGTTTGTCGGATAAATGTTGTATTACACTGTTTGTCGGATAAATGTTGTATTCTGCAGTTTGATGGATAAATGTTGTATTCTGCAGTTTGATGGATAAATGTTGTATTCTGCAGTTTGATGGATAAATGTTGTATTCTGCAGTTTGTCGGATACATACTGGAATATAAGAAGTATACCTGGGTATTTTAGGCACATTCAGTTTCATTTGGAAAATTAATGTTTTGTTTTTTTTTTTTTTTAACAGATGGGGTTACACACCATTGGACGAAGCAAAACGATTTGGGAAAAACGATGTTGCCCTATTGTTAGAACAACATGTTAAAGAAAATTCTCCCACGGAGAGCTGAGAACTGGTAAACATTATATATAGATGTATACTTAAGTAGATATTATGTCACAAATCAGTGTTTTTTGGAACTGTCATCTAACACAAAGGCACATTAACAGATTTTTAAATGGTGAAAGAAGAGAATTCATGAGGATGAGTTAGACAGTAATGAGACATTCAATGAGATTGTTTGTATCGTTGCTTTGTTTCCTATAAACAGCCAGAGTCATTTAAAGACATGGCATATATAGGTGGTGGAGGAAAGCCAGAATTGCCTTAAAAAACCACTAACCTGAAGCCAGTACCTGGCTTCTGTTCCATATAGGCCTCAAACCTGTGACTTAGAAGATGGAGGACTAGCAATACAGATGCCCTAACCACTCTGCCACAGTTTCCCAACAACACAAATGACTTGCATGGAAAATATAGTTTGTTAGTAGTGTTGATAATCCACACGTTTATAAATAACAAATAATATTGTGATCTCTTCTGTATCATAGTTACTCTATAAAACATCATGACTTTATCCCATCATCTAGCACTCAAATTTACGCTTGTAATGACATAAAATTTCATATATGTCTTAGAAAAATTTTTAAAAGATTTTTTAATATTTTTATCAGGGACAGTGCAGACACAAATGAGCCTTTCATAAAATTAAGTTCCAGATGTAAACAATGAAAAAAATGAAGAAATGATTTTTTTTTTAAAAGATATTGAAATATAAAATTTTTTAACCAGTATGTATATTGATTTTTTCTCTGCCATCAATGTAAGCTCTGAACCCTGTTTATATAATAAAATGTTTCTTTCATTTTTTTGTTCATAAATAGATGAACAACCATATCAAGATCTCTACAGAGCCCTCTACAAAATGCTGATTTCTGAGGAAAGCTACCAGGTTTTCATGCCGCATTTTGAATTTAAATTCTGCTTAATTCCTTGCATTAAAACTGAAATAAATTGATTGAAGAGAACTATGTGTACTTAAAAACTCAATACTACACAATGATTTTGTTTTCAGATATGTGAAAATTCAAGGCAGAATAATTCTGTTGAGCATTTTCCTTACCCATTTCAAATTTGAGATTTGATATGTACATGTAGGTATTGTTGTTTTCAATATCTAAAATGTATAGGAAATATAAGTAAACAAGAAATAGTGGCAAGCACAACTTCCTAACACTATAATAATATTTGCTTCCTTTCCTATATAATACTTACAAGGGAAGTAACTTTAGACGAAAAAAAACCCCAAAATTGACAGGTAATGTAAATTGTTGGTGTTGTAGAAAATTGTAAATTGAAAAATTCTGCCCATAGAGAACTCAGAGTATAGGTAACAAACGCATATTATAATTTGTAGTGAACGATAATATTTCTGCATGTTGAAGATTTTTTATCAAAGGGATAGTTTCATCATATCTAAAGTGATGAGTTTACCAGTGTTTGTCAGATACCTTACAGATTGTTGGGTTGTTTATATGTAAACATCTCACCTGTGCTTGTTAATGGAATAATAAGTTTGTTCTATGCAGTAGTTTTGATTACTTTTGGACAATTTCGGTCAGGAGTATCTTTTTTAACATTCACAGTGATTTTGTAACTGTTCCAAGTGTGGTGTTGAATAGGTGAACATTTTGAAACATAAAATATCTGAGTTTAATATATTTCTGTCGGATTTGCTATGAAGCTTCTTCTTCTGAAACAAACAAAAAACAAAACAAACAAAAAACCAGACAAAAACACACTTTGGAAGGAACTTTTGAAACGTTACCCTAAATGATATTTTTTTTGTTAAGGTTGCAATGCAGGCCCTGGGGACCTCTTTTTGTACTTTCTTTAATGTTTTTGTTTTTAGCAGTTTGTTTATATAGATCTGTTTAAGCATTTTTTTTTATCAAAACTTGTGAAGTCTTGTTATCTTCAGTGCTATACCTGTGTTTTTTGTTAAGGAGTGAGAAATTTGTGCTACCTTCACTTTTTGCATGTTTTTTTTGTTAGAATTACCTTGCATGTATAATTTTGTTTTGTTGAATTTCAACACTTTACTTAAACATATTGGAACAAATTCACTATCTTTACAATTTTCATGATATCATTTCTACCTTAAACACTTCAATGTAAATATATTGCATCTCATTCATGTCACAAAATTAAATCTATTCCAGATTATTTTTTCAAAATGTATCTTCTACATTGCTTGGTAAGAACTCCCCCTCCATTTTTTTATCGCTCACTTAACAAAGTTGGTGGGCTATATTCAAATGTGGTGGGGGATATATGATTGGGTTCCATCCATCCATCCTTCTGTCCGTCTATCCAGATGCTGCTTTCTGCAAGATATCTTTTGAAGGACTGGTAGGATTTTGAGAAAGTTTGGTTGGTACACTTGTTATCTTAAATCCCTTGGTTAAGTTTAATCAACAACCAATGAGGCTGCTGTGACCTGATTGGCTGATTACTTTAATCACCTTCCAATGCTGCTTTCCGCATGATATCTCATGAAGGCTTTTGATACAACTTAAAGAGTCATGCCACATTAAGGCAGGATGCCCTTAAAGCAGATATTTCACAGAAAATTGGAAAACAAAATTCAAACTTTGAAATTTTTCTCTTTTCTGAAACAACAATGACAATTTTGTTTTACTACAATTTAAATGATTTATGTATAAGACATACTTGCATGACAAGTTACTGTTTGTGTATTGTAGGATGACACTGTGTACTCGAAGAATTTTGCCAGGGTATCATGAGATAAATATTTTTTTTATATAAAATCTTTTATATATATATATATATATATATATATCTGATTAAACATGAGTAACATATGTATATCAGTCCTTTAAACATGATTTTATATATTACTATCTGTAATACCACCATGTTATAAGATTTTAAACTGCTTTTTAAAGTTACATCAGAGCAATACAAGAATGCATGTTTACCAGAATTTAGAATTAAGTATTTGTTAACTTTTTAGATAAGATACACATGTATACCGGTGTATAAAAATATATGTAACCACTTTTACTTTATGATATTAAAAGATTTTTCAGTTACTAAATGTGTACTTTCAGTATTTTTATTGATATATTTGTTTGAATTTCTGAACTTTAACCCTGTTTATGTACAAGTTTAACATGACACTACAATATAAGAGAAATGTATGAAATTTAGATTGCTGTCATTAAAAGTATGATTTATATTTGCTCTTTTTACCGTCAAATTTTCAGTAAATATATTAATTTTCAAAACATTATATGTCAATATGTTGTGAAAGATTTACATCTTAAAAATGCTTTTAGATGTCCTTGATTTATATCTTGTTTTGTCATCATTTTTTTTTATATCAACAAGCATCAGATCTAAAGTTTGTTAATGTTTTTTAGAAAGAATTTATATTAAAGGAATTAAAAGTGAGTTTTTATTAAGATATTGTTATTACTAAACCAGTATTAAAATAATATTAAATTTACAAGAGGTGTGAAAGAAGTAAACATACTTTATTTCCTTCACTCTTGTTTGTCTGAAAGATAAACTGTAGGGACCCATTGTCTTAAAGCTTTTTCTCAAACATCTTCTTCTGGAAAACAATGAAGCCTTTCTTCAAGATACAGACGCTGAGCCAATAGCTTGATTGAAAATCAGGTTTTCAACTTCTTTCAAGTAATTTTCAAAATTATGAAAGTACATGTGATGAGGACCGCTACATCTAAATAAGATTTTTTAATGACTTCTAAAATAAGTGAAATGTCTGGAGAATCCAAGAGGAATGAAACTTTTATGTTTATCAAAATTAATTACTATGATGCATTTACAGTATTAGAGGATGCAATTATGTTATGAAACTTATGAGTAAGTACCAGCGTTCAAGGTCAATAGCACATGTATTGAGCCAGTAACTTCTGTGATTATGTGGTTATTGTACATGATACAGGTACTTGTAGATATGAAATGACATACAATGACAGTGCTTGTTTAGAAAACTCTTGGAATTAAGTGTCATGTCACGAAAGTCTTGAAATATAAAGTAGATGCCAGGGAAGTCAAAAATGAAATATTTTTCCCATAAAAATTCAAAGAAATAAATTTCACTATTGACACGAATAAAATGTGAGCTGATTTATTAAATTTGTATTTATAATGCTTATGTGCAACCTAAAAACCACCAAAATATGGGCATTACCTCCCTTAAAATATTAATCACAAATTATTAATTTGATCACTTTCCCCCAAACAAGCTGTTGGCAAAGTCCTTGAACTTGATGTTTGACTGTCCTGGAAATGTCCTGGAATTTGTCTTGGAAGTCCATGGATTAAGGAACACATGTTGATGCAAGTGAATGACTGGTCAATTTTCAAGTTTTTGAGGGTAAATCTTTGAAATTCTATGTAGGAATGCCATGCATCTGTCTGGATTTACTGTGGAGCATGGTTGAATGAACGGAACTCAGTTTCGTATAAAATGGGGGCCTCATTCCCCAAGGACTGGAGAGGCAGAGCCTCATTTTTGAAATTAAGCAAATTGGTTAAAATCGTTCTTCAGTAGGAGTCTGTACCAAATTAGTATGAAACATTCCTGGGTGAAGGAGATTTACTTATAAATTGTTTCGCTGAACCCATAGTGGCAGAAAGCAAGGACACAACAGAGAAATAGATACAAGCTTTTAGAATTCCTTTACCTTTAATGTAAATATATCAAAGCCAGATGAGCAATACAGACCCTTACAGCTGTAACATATCAGCATCAGACCTTGAGACCACACCTTCTTCCTCTTATCCATCAACGTAACCTTACGTTGCAGCAGGACAGCGCGAGGCCCCATGTTGCTAGGGTTTGTCGTGACTTTCTGGCTCAAAACAACGTCCCAGTCCTTGATTGGCCACCATACAGTCCAGACCTGTCCCCAATCGAGCATTTGTGGAACGAGCTAGACAGGAGGGTTAAGAAGCACGTCAACGTCCCATATAACGTCGCTCAACTGACGTAGGCCCTTATTAACGAGTGGAATAATATCCATCAAAGGACAATAAACACCTTAATAGGGTCAATGTTTATGGGGACTTCAGACAGGTCTGTAACTTGTTTGACATTCTTTACCAAAGATTCGGCAGACAGAACAATAAATTTTATGGATAAACCTGTACCAAGGGCCTGAGATATTTATTCTCGGTAGTAATCACTGTGTCTGTCCATCCGTCCACAGAATCAGTTACTAGCTAATAAGTTGACTATCTATTAACTACTTTAGATAAAGTTTCATTCACAAAATACACACCGAGGTCGATAAACTTGTTGTTATGACAGTATGAAACAAAGCTGGTCAGGATTAGAAACGGAATCAACTAACCGAAGGTCAAAGTCACCGTGTCAAAGGGTAAAGGTCACTGGGTCAATGGTTAAGCTAACATTTTGTAGCATATGAAGCAATGTTAGTCAGAATTAAATAAAAAGTCAACTGACCAATGATCAAGGTCACTTGGTCAGACATATGGGTCAAAAAATCAGGGGCAAAGTTGATCATTAAGGCGTCGTATCAGAAATACGCCTGCCCCATAGCAGTCAATCAGTTTATCTCTCCACAAGTACTGAACAGGAACGAGGTGAAACACTCTCGCACATCTATGGCCAACTGTACACATGATTTTTGTACAGCGCTCGTCTGTTGAAAGGACGTAATAGCGAACGTAAAAGCCCATCAAGGAAATGACAAATTAATATTGTTCAGCCTAAAATTTGGGTCGAATTCTTACCATCTCCTACAAACGTCAATGATAGTATGCATCACACTGGTCATTTGTCTGATGTCTGAATCTTTCAGATATGTAAACAGAGCAGCATCTATAAGTCCCTGTGACTTTTTCTAAAATAAAGGGTGATTTAATGTAAAACACACTGTCGTCTCTTTGGGAATCGTCAAAAATTAATCTCTCTGATCTTTTTTATGGTCCCAGATTGTGTGTGTATCAATCCTTAAGAATTAAAGCTGCTAATTTTTTCTCTGTCGACTGAACGTATTGATGTTAGATAGAGGCAATACATGAATGTTTCTTCTGTTCACTTCGGTAGTAATACAACATTTCGAGGAAATTTCCGGCGAACTTTATACCCCAGAAGCAACATTTCGAGGAAATTCCCGGTAATCTGAACATCTCAGTAACAACAATTCGGGGAAATTCCCGGTAATCTGAACATCCCAGTAACAACAGTAGCAACATCTCGAGGAAATTCCCGAACATCTCAGTAACAACATCCCGGTAATCTGAACATCTCAGGGGAAATTCCCGGTAATCTGAACATCTCAGTAACAACATCTCGGGGAAATTCCCGGTAATCTGAACATCTCAGTAACAACATCTCGAGGAAATTCCCGGTAATCTGTAGATCTCAGTAACAACATCTCGTGGAAAGTCCCGGTAATCTGAACATCTCAGTATCAACAATTCGGGGAAATTCCCGGTAATCTGAACATCTCAGTCAGTAACATCAATTCGGGGAAATTCCCGGTCTCGAGGATAATCTGAACATCTCAGTAGTAACATCTCGAGGAAATTCCCGGTAATCTGAACATCTCAGTAACAACATCTCGAGGAAATTCCCGGTAATCTGAACATCTCAGTAGTAACATCTCGAGGAAATTCCCGGTAATCTGAACATCTCAGTAACAACAATTCGAGGAAATTCCCGGTAATCTGAACATCTCAGTAACAACAATTCGAGGAAATTCCCGGTAATCTGAACATCCCAGTAGTAACATCTCGGGGAAATTCCCGGTAATCTGAACATCCCAGTAACAACAATTCGAGGAAATTCCCGGTAATCTGAACATCTCAGTAACAACATCTCGGGGAAATTCCCGGTAATCTGAACATCCCAGTAGCAACATCTCGGGGAAATTCCCGGTAATCTGAACATCTCAGTAACAACAATTCGGGGAAATTCCCGGTAATCTGAACATCTCAGTAACAACAATTCGAGGAAATTCCCGGTAATCTGAACATCTCAGTAACAACAATTCGGGGAAATTCCCGTCTCAGTAACAACAATTCGAGGAAATTCCCGGTAATCTGAACATCTCAGTAACAACAATTCGGGGAAATTCCCGGTAATCTGAACATCTCAGTAACAACAATTCGAGGAAATTCCCGGTAATCTGAACATCTCAGTAACAACAATTCGAGGAAATTCCCGGTAATCTGAACATCCCAGTAGTAACATCTCGGGGAAATTCCCGGTAATCTGAACATCCCAGTAGTAACATCTCGGGGAAATTCCCGGTAATCTGAACATCTCAGTAACAACAATTCGGGGAAATTCCCGGTAATCTGAACATCCCAGTAACAACAATTCGAGGAAATTCCCGGTAATCTGAACATCTCAGTAACAACAATTCGGGGAAATTCCCGGTAATCTGAACATCTCAGTAACAATTCGGGGAAATTCCCGGTAATCTGAACATCTCAGTAGTAACATCTCGAGGAAATTCCCGGTAATCTGAACATCTCAGTAGTAACATCTCGAGGAAATTCCCGGTAATCTGAACATCTCAGTAACAACATCTCGGGGAAATTCCCGGTAATCTGAACATCTCAGTAACAACATCTCGAGGAAATTCCCGGTAATCTGAACATCTCAGTAACAACATCTCGAGGAAATTCCCGGTAATCTGAACATCTCAGTAACAACATCTCGAGGAAATTCCCGGTAATCTGAACATCTCAGTAACAACAATTCGAGGAAATTCCCGGTAATCTGAACATCTCAGTAGTAACATCTCGAGGAAATTCCCGGTAATCTGAACATCTCAGTAACAACAATTCGGGGAAATTCCCGGTAATCTGAACATCTCAGTAGTAACATCTCGAGGAAATTCCCGGTAATCTGAACATCTCAGTAGTAACATCTCGAGGAAATTCCCGGTAATCTGAACATCTCAGTAACAACATCTCGGGGAAATTCCCGGTAATCTGAACATCTCAGTAGTAACATCTCGGGGAAATTCCCGGTAATCTGAACATCTCAGTAGTAACATCTCGAGGAAATTCCCGGTAATCTGAACATAG